AGAAAACCTCACGAAAAGTAAGTAAGTCGCATATCTAATAATAAGACAAGAAAATAATGAGACAACCGCCTTATTATCCATTCATTGTCATCGATTAAATAATTCACCTGTTTTATGTCATTGACAACTTCCTCGAATCTTCCATCATCGTTCAATATTTCTCCCAAATCAGTATTGCTGAGATGCTTCAACATCGACAATGCAGCTAGAATATTCATAGAAATTGATGAATTTATTATTTATTATTAATAAATGTCATGATTCTTTTTTTATTCCAGGTTTTCAAATTATAACAATTTCCCATCTATTGACTTAGTGGATTAGGCCTACAGGGGATACCACTTTAAAAAAAAACGCGTCGAGGACTCTACCTCTTGGGTGACGTGGAAAGAGTTTCACTTTAATTACTTGATTTATGAAAAAATAGTCAATACTGGGGAAAAATCTCTCGAATTGAAATAATCATATACCCATGATATACTTTATTATTAATTAATCGTCAAAGCAGACAGTTTCAACGTATGATCATAGAAAGAACAAGTAGCAACAAGCATGGCATCGTCTTCATAATTATCTGAATCGATTTTCTGTTTAACTTGGACTTTAGAAAGTGAAGACCAGTCACAACCGTAGGCAATGCTCTCGTGCTCCTTCAACTGCTCCAGTATCTTGGGATTATCGTTGTGCTGACAATCGATAATTTTAAAATGCCCGTACATACAAGCTGCGAATAGGTACTTGTGATAAAATGGATCCCATTTCAATCGCCAAATTCCACCGGACATATTGGTCTCTGAGATTGCTTTACGCAGGTGTCTCGTATCCCACAGACGAAGAACTTCATCGTAGCTGAAATTTTTCACGATATAATTCAAATAATCCTTTCTGATTTCAGTTTATACCTTCCAGATGCTAAAAGATATTCCTTTCCTACATTCGAATGTAAACTTGTAACTCCAGCTGTATGCACTGCATTAGAACCAACCGATTTCAAACCAGTTCGTGTATCAAACCACTTGAACTTGCAATCATCACCACCTGTTAAAATAGATTCTTTATATTTTCAACTATAGGCACTGTGATAAATAATAAATAATGTTTATTGAGTAATTATTATATGGTAGAAATTAAGAGAATGAATTCGTGAAAATCAATTCTATTAATTCTTTTCTATCATCGATAGATAGTATCTGTGATACTTCTCCTGAAAATCGATAGAATGCTAATGGAACACCTGAATAAATGACGTTCGTGTCCCAATAATTGAAGGAAGTTATCCAGGCTTCGAATTGATGAGCGAGCTGAGATCCAAGACAATGAAGTTTTTCCTGAGAAATGCTGTAAACAGTAATGAATCCCTTCGAATCACTGATAGTAATTCTAGCTTCAGTCGACTGATTCCAACAACTTCTTCCTGTACTCCAGTCCAAAGACAACGCCAAGTACTCATCATCCACACAACGTATCTTTGTTTCTACTAATAAATTCATTTGACTTTTTTCCGTCAATTGCCATAATTGAAGATAACCGATGGAATTCACTACCCCCAATAGAACATGACCTTCGTACAACACGTGAGCCCATTTCATATCTAAAACCCCTGGCACATTTATTTCTTGCAGTAAATGCAACTTTCCCGGTGTAACAACTTGAAATAGATAAATTGTCCCCTGACGTTTTTGAGTATTATTCGCCAGAGATTCACTCTGCTGCTCTCGATTTAACAATTGATACGTGCCACAAACAAAATGATCCCTAAAACCCTCAATGGTACACCACTCAACCGAATCCGCTGAGAGTTTCGTGTCAAAAGTCTCCAAGATTTTGAACATGTTGGATTGTGTCTGAAACATAAAATCCAATTTTCCATGAACATACTTCAACTGCTGAGAAAATTTCGATTGAAAGTCTCAGTTTGTGAATTTTTTGACAAGTGACATTTGACTCGAAACTTTCGGTAATTCAGTCATAGAAAGTTATTAAACAATTCTTAAACAATTCTTCAATTACTAAACAATTCTTAAATGTTAAACTGAATTTATCATTGACTGAAAATTCATTGCTATCGGATACTGAAAGTCCAGAATGATTAGTAAATTCCTTAAATGAAATTCGATTGAATAAAACTTGAAATTACAACCGAAATATTCTATGATTTTTCATTAGTCTTCCATAAAAATATCCCCAAGATCGCAATAAATGGTATTAATAGGAAAATTCAACACGACTTGATAAAAAAAAGAAAAGTTATTTCATCAATTTATTATCTATTTTGGTTGTTGCGGTAGGAAATTTTATACATTTCACAGGACACAATTAAAAAATATTATTTTATGGAAAAAAGTTGATAAAATATCAGTCAGATACTGCTATAGGCTTACTTAATCCTGAGCATGGTAGTGAAACATTAGGAACATCACAAGGCGTACATACCCCCGATTAAAATACATTAATTCTCATTTTGTTTTCACTCGCATTGTTCTCCACTATGGAGTAAGTAACATAAATTATATAAATCCACCACACAAATCCTGTTCCGGTCACAATATTGAATTAATCTTTGATTGTAAGTTGATAAACACTCTTGGAAGAGAGAATATATTATTTGTACTTTGATATCATCAACAGGGTCCACAGGATTGAGAAAATCATTAAGGCATTCATCTGTCTCTTCTCATTCAGTGCAACAATAAGTCAATCAGGTAATATTACTCTATCGATTCACCACTGTTAAGAGCTATTATAGAAAAATATTAAAGTGGTACATTTTGTTTTTGGCAAATGCCTCTTTCTCTAAATATATGGCTTCAACTACTGTATTCTCATATTCTCGTGAATCTTAACTGCTTGACTCGTCCTGAAATTCTTAAATCATGGCTACTCAGATCTTAAGTTAATCAGTGTTATACGAAAATTAAATGATAATACTTATAGTAAAAAGGGTCCTTTGGTAAAAATCCTTTGGCACCTCTTTAATCAACCCGCATTTTTGAATATAAAAATAACATTATGCAATGGATTAAAAGAAACTTAAGTTACTGCCGAGCACTTCTCTCAGTCTCAACGAGACATTCTCTGACTAGAATTCTTGCATGAACAATTCCCCGTTTGATTCTTTCAGCAGAACTTCTGCTTCCTGCATACGTAGGACGTATGTCTCTCCCAAGTTCCTCAATTACACTGAGAAGCTGCACATATTTAGATTGTCCAGGTACTGCTGTTACACTCACTTGAGCAACTGTCGGTTGAATATTTCTTGGATTTGGTACTGTTATCGGAGGCTCCACTATTTTCGTTGCACCCTCGGCTTTCGTTCCTTCTCCATCCATTTTAAAAATTTATTTTACTTTACTCTAATGCCCTGATGAAAGAAATTTTCCCAATATTTTCAAATTCATACTCGTCTGCACATAACCTACACTAGCTACAACTAATTCAGTATTTGTACTTCTATAATTGCATTTTTCTTCTCAAAATGATAACTAGGGAGCAGTGAATGGAAGTCTTACCTGAAGTGCTCTAGAATTGGGGTTAAAGCCAAATAATTAACATTAAAGAACGATTGAACTGACGATTGTAAATACTCGCTCCAAAATATCACGCATTGAAATAGAAATCATCTATTGTGTCAAGAATTGCGTGCACAGCTGCGCCTGCGCATTGACTCCCTAAGCCTGAGGATTTTTTTTTACAGAAATTATCATACCAAAGTCTCAATGACGTTGACGTCATGAATCTTTTGAAACAACGTCATATCGACGTTGTTTCAAAAGATCAATTATTCGCTTTATTGATTGTGACCGCATAAAATGAAAAATTCGTTTTTAAAAAAAACATCAATCAACACCTGGGGCTTGATATTTCCTGTGTCGTCTGCCTTGCGGTTGCAACTCTTAGTTTGAATGGAGTATGATTCAATGAAAGAAAACACTATAAATAAAAAATCGGTACTTTATTCAGCATTATTCTATAAGAAAGGCTTATATTTAAGATTCCAGTTGACAAATAATAAATCGTGAAACAATAGTACAATCACCTCAATAGTACGAACGTAATGCTTATCATCTTCAAGGAGAAAATAGGATCACAAAGTAGATCCATATACTCCAAAGTGTATGATGGAAATAAAGGTAATTATAATAAAGATGATAGTAATTATGATAATGGAATACTAGTAATTCATCACTGATATCTCCCATGAGGAAAACCTGAAATTAGGTAAATGCTCGCCTAATCGGTTCACTTCGTGCAAAAGAAAAATTCAAGAAAAAATCTTTTTCTTGGCACTACACGAACAGAATTTCTAAGCTGTATATATTCAACAATGTTATTTAACGAATAATTAATCAATCCAATTTTACCTCCACAAGGCAATAACGATGGGTGTTATGGGCAGAAAATTGCACCATTTGTTTATTTGATACCATGACTTGATTCTGTGCATAAAGATATTTCTGAAAGGAAATTTCATCAATGCAATTTACAGTTGCGAGAGATGTAATGTGGAGAGGTGGAAATAATAAGGAGTAATCAGCAGTAATTTATGAAATTCCTCCACACAAGGATTAACAAGCCTTAAAATAATAAAACATGGAACTGATAACTATTTTGTAAATACAATAATTTATTTCTGTCCAGAAGCGCATCTACGCATCAATCAACAGAATTTAAGTTCAAGTCAATGGAATTCATGTCAATGGAAGAAAGTGTTGGGTATTTCCCTCCAATTTTTTCATATGAATTTTGACGAATGTGAAAAATAACTTACTATGATGACGAATCTACGCTGATCGAGATGCCGAAAGCGATAATCAATCATTGTCGTGCATTGTGTTCCGTCTCTAAGAGACACTCTCTGACAAGTATTCTGGCGTGTTGAATACCCATTTTGAGACGCTCAGCAGCACTACGACTGCCGGCATACGAAAGACGAATGTCACGACCCAATTCCTCAATTATTACAAGTAACTGAGCGTATTTTCCTTGTCCAGGGACTGAGGGAAAATTTATGGTGTTTGAGGGACTTGCTTGGGCAGTTTGAACAGTCTGCACGCTCTGAAGATTCCGTGGATTTGGTACAGTGATTATTGGCTCAGGAATCCTCGGAATTTCTTGAACTTTCGATGATTGTAAGGCTGACGGTGGAAGGGGTGGTGGTGGATCATTGAGTTTTGTTATTGTGATTTCATTAAGCTTCGACAGCTCTGTCAACTTGGCTATATCTCCCATCTTCGAGTACTCACTCATTTTGGACATGTCATTTTGCATGTTAACCATTTTAATCATTTCATTCATTTTGGTTTTCTCATTGAGTTTGGCTATTTCCTTAGCCATCTCGTTAATCTGTGCTATTTCGGAGAATTTTGTCATGTCACTGTTGTACTTTGCCAACTCGGACATCTTTACCATTTCATTGAGTTTGGCAATTTCATTCATCCTCTGCACTTCATTTATCTTAGCCATCTGCGACATTTTCATGATTTCATTCATCTTGGCTATTTCATTCATCTTATTCATATCAGTGTACTTTGAAATCTCCGAGAACTTGACCATTTCATTCATCTTAGCAAGCTCTGTCATCTTCATCTCCTGCATTTTCATGTACTCCGTTGTCTTTGCATACTCAGCTATTTTTTCCATCTCATAACGCTTCGCCATGTCCTGAGATATTTTATTTAATTCACTCATTTTACTGAACTCAGCTAATTGGGCCATTTGAACGATGTGCTCTGGTACCTTGCCACGCTCCATCATTTGCTTCAGCTCAGCTGAAATCTTGTTCATATTCATCTCTGACATCTGAGCTATGGTCGCTGCGTCTGGTGCGGGCATTTTCGATAATTCAGCTATTTTCGATATTTCCCGAGCCAGATTCTCATCCAGACATCTTTTCTTCTTCGCTCGATGCCTCGCCATTCGCTGGGCCTCTTGCATTCTTCTCAGGGCCGCTTGCTCCTCGGTTTCTTTTGCTCTCACATTCTTCATTCTTTCAGCAGCTGTATTATACAGTCTGATTGCTCGTTCTTCACTCGTTTCTGACATTAGATCATTCTTAATCTACCTATTATTTATCTTCTCACGGTGAAGTATTCTGCTATATTTTCCTGGTAACTATGTCCGATCATGTTAAAGGCAACTGTCAACGTCACACCAACTGACTCCGCTGAAAATAAACGGAGAACATTCAATATCATTTATTATGTTTCTCGGGAGAACAAAAAGTTCACACATTTTTTTTATAGACATATAATTTATACAGTGAAGTTGGACCGGGAAAATCTCGAAAAATTACTAGATATCATAATGAATTAAACTCGAATTTTTATGCCTGCACAGGAGAATAATTTTTTCTAGAGTGAAAGCGCATCAATACATAAATTTTTTATGTAATTTGCCAATTTGATTTGACATCGCTCTCCAGACATACGTATTTCCCGTTGAGAAAAGGGAAAACAAAACAAAAAAAAAAGAATATATACCGCATCGATCTTCTCCGAACGTTAGCCATAAGGAATAAAGAATGATGAGAATCCCATCTGAAGCCATCAAAGAATTTCTCAAAAAACTGAAATTGAGTTTATCAACAACACAACATGGCAAATCCGAGTCCTTGAAAATACAGTTCTTGAAGATTTTGGAAATTTGAACGAAGAAATAAGTGAGAACATCGGCGCATGCGTTAGTGAGTAAAGAAAGGATTGTCTTGAGTGTGTGGGTGTGTAGAGTTGGTTGGATTTTTGCCAATGGTAACAATGGCCGACTGAATTTAGCTAATTTATTGAAACTTACGTCGGTTGTTTATGATTTCGCTGGGATAGCGGTGTTGTGTTCCTCGTAAGAATTAATCCCCACGCATGTTGGAGTACTGGAGATTGACACAAAGACCTCGTGGGTGCACAATGCAATGGTTCTGAAGATATGGTAGACACACCAAGGCGATATCGACGGACATGTAAGATTTTCGTTGGACAGAGGGACTTTAAGGGACCAAGTGGGATCGGACCGATAGGCTGCGTGTGACGTGGTCGCGTTTATTGACCATAACCCCTTCCTCCTTTTGCCACCCCCGACGTAGACGACCGAGACGACCGAGACGCTTCGAGGAGGCAACTTCAAGGCAGACAGGTGTGTCTATACTATGCAGGCCTAACATCCTCCACAAAAGATTGTATATGACTTTATATAATTTCTTATTTACTACTGCGAAGATTGGGGATTCGCTTGACTCAAGGGGAATCCTTCACTTGCCTCATACTCGTTCAGCAATAACTGCCTCTCAAGGTGATTCACTTGGAAATTCATCAATGGAGTCATTTATTTAGAGGAAATTACCAAATCTTCGGAGATTCTTTTTGAATTCAGATGAGAAACAATTGCGCCTCTCATATATGTATGCGTGCGTAAGGAGAAACTCGATAACTCCTTGCGCATTCGCGGGGAATTGGACAGAATTAAATGTTGAATTTTTTTAGGTCTTTTTTTTTTGAGAATTATGGTGGATTTTTCATGGTTCAGGAATGTAGAAATTATTGGCGGAAATTAATGTAGAAGAACTTCTCCGGGGGATTAGTAATATAAAAAAATATATAAGATTATACATTAATGGTTTTATTCTCTGAATGTTGCAGATTTTCGGTTTAAAATTATTTAACGAGGAAATGTATCTCTCCAGTTATGAGTATTGTTTTCTCCTATCGCTGGTCATTGTTCCAGTCTGTCTCTTCTTCAGATTATGGTCTTGGCTTGGCTGGGAATTATTTGTCAATAATTAACCGTCGTGTAGAAAAATCGTTATTATATAAAAAATGGTTTTTTCCATAATTTCTGATTTTCTTGGGAAGAACAGGGCAAAATGAAACATCCATTCTAACATTTCATGAAATTTTGGGAAACAAAATAATCAAGTGTTCCATTTTATCCTGTTACTTCATTGAATTATATAAATAAATTTTTGTCAGTGGCAGTTGAAATACATTTGGCTTATCCATAGAAAATGTATCTTACAAATAAAAATTCACCGAGTCTTTAAAGTTAATCTATCTCGAACTCGTTAAGAGATAAAAAAAAATAATTATATGTATTGTTATATTTTATCTGTTATTTGAAGTTCATCCAATCCCATCTTTCCTCGGTGTTTCCAAATTCGATATCTTGCGACATCTATTCTCGTAATCATTCCGATTACCTGTATGGATAATTGAATTAGATAATCGTCTCCAAGAAGTTGACGTTTAATTAAAAAATTCTAACATACCTCGTGTGTGTCATTGACCACTGGTAAATGGCGAAGCCCTAGACCTCTGAATAGTCTGAATACTCTCGGTAGTGTTGTGGACTAAAAAAAATATTTCGTGAAAATTTGTGCAAATGCAATTCCGAATAGACTAATTTGCATTTGTGACTCACGTGTTGAAGAGTGTACGGCGAAGGGTTCATGAAGGGCCGTAAATCAATGGAATATGTTTTTTCCTCTTCTGTAACCTCGATTTGGTTAATCTCAGGATATCTGGGGTACTCATTACGAAACATTTTCAGACTCAGGGGAATATCCCACGATTCAGACTCATTAAATATTTTATTCTTCAACAGAACAATGAGTTGGGACCGGAGTATAAGTCCCCGAAAACGTCCATAGCAATGGATTTCATCCTATGAATTAAAAATATTTGATTATGACTGGTCAGAATTGCAATGGATTCTAGATATACCTGATCAGAACTTGGTGGATCAACAACAGGAAACCCATTGAATTTAACACACTTGAGAAGTTCGACAATGCGCCCAACATTTTCAGTGGTTTTGAGTGTCACCACAGGATGACTCATGATCTCACTGACATAAATATTATTGGACAGTGGAGGTGCCTCCCAGGGCAAGAGAGGAATGCCTGCCATTTGGATATGAATGTCATAAATACCCTATTACCAGAAAATACATAATTACTGCCAGTAACTGAATCCATAAATTAACAGGTGTATGTATACACCTTTACATACTTCATTGAAGAAGTCGCCAACCCACTTGGCCATTATCAGAACGATTATTACTGGAAGGCCGAACGAAATGCCCTGTGTTGCTTCAATGAGAATTGCAGTCAAACTTATGGTCATTCTGACGACACCACCCAGTTGTGCAGCTGCACCAAGTAGTGCATACTTTTTAGGCTCGAAGAAAACCTGGAAGTCACGTTCAATGATTAAGAGAAAACGATAGTACTAATAATAATGTTCTCAAATAGAAGAGCCTCCTTACACATGAAGGAATAGCCTTGGCTAATCCAGATCCCATGAGTCTGCCCCAAGCTGAACCAATGAGGAGAGATGGAATGAAAAGACCACCTGACATTGACAGGCCAAAAGTGCAAACAGCTAGGATGAAGTATAAACAAACAAAGACAGCCAAAGTTGCATCATTATGTGAACCTATAAATGGAAATTAAAATTTGAAACTTTGTCAATATTTCTAATTTCAAGTATTTTTGGGAAATTCCAGAATAATTTTATTAAAAAAGTCTATCTTCACCCTTTGGATCATGGAAAAGTGATCTCACGGTACTTTCTGGTGTTTGGAACCAGAGGGCTGCCACAGCACTGTACTCCCCCTCCTTGCAAAACAACTGGACAGGATACTTGGTTGGATCCTTGCCCAAGGGCTTGCAGTCGTTGACAAAATAAATCATTAGGAATCCCATGGTTGCTGATATCACAGCAATGACAATCACCTCAACTATTTTCCATTCCTTTGCCTTGATATATCTAAGTCTGACGCACGTAATTTTGTAGTTTAGATAATTCCACAAGGCTCCCAAGAGTCCTCCAACAGTGCCCACAATCATAAAAAGTGGAATTTCATACACTTCATAAGGTAAAGTTTCGAATTTGCCGAGATTCAATAGGCCAGGATATGAAAGTTCTCCTGGATGGCCATGATATGCGCTGAGTACAATATTCAATGTGAAGGTCGATATCATGCTGGCAAAAAAAGTTCGCCATGTGAGACTTTGGTTGAAGAAGCTAGCCCCTTCTTCGGCACTAAACAATACTCCGCCTGTAGAAATTCAAAAATAATCAGTAAAATAATTTTTCATTTCTTTCAGCACAAGATTTTTACCGACATATATTCTTTGAAACACAAAATTACCAATTGGAGCACCGAAGGCAGCAGAAACTCCGGCAGCTGCGCCTCCAGAAACAAAGTCTCGTTTCTCATGATCTTCTCTGAAGTATTGAAAAATCTTAAAATCCTTCTTAAAGGTTGTACTCTTTCCCTGTGATATACCAGCTGCGACAACTGCTCCAGCATGAATCATTGGTCCCTCCTTACCACCAGCGAGACCTCCAACCACCGTAGATATGACACCGAGGATTTTCACGGTTAGAGTTTTAATCCTCACCACTCGGGGAACTTTGATACCATTGAGATAACATTTTACTTGAGGAATTCCACTTCCACCAGCGACAGGTTCAAAATATGTCACTAAAATGGCACCGATCAAGCATGGACCTATATTAAAAATTATCCACATGCAGTAGGGCAGCCATAGGTGATTATTCTCCACCGAATTATCAACATCTGTGTAAGTCGAGTCAAGGATTGATCTGAATCCAGTAAAATGGAAAAGCAGTTCAAACTGATTTACATAAAAAAAAGTGATAATGATTTTCAAGTTGTCTTTAGATTCGGATGTATTTCAAGAAAACTCAGTGGAGAAATAATTCCGCTGGAAGCATTTTCTAGGTTCGTTAGTGAATTATAGTTTTTTGGTGATGTCTTTTTGGGTTTTGAAAGGATACATGTCTTCAATGCTCCATATTTAATATCGGAAAGCTCCTCGATCGATATATCCACGAAGCATGCTATCAAAGCGGTAAATATACCAATCAATAAGAAAATGAACCACCGTGCGAAATTTTTTCTTACTATGTATTTGTATCCTTTTTTTCTCTCTTCATCTTGGAACAGATGATTTTCGCATATGTCGTAATCCAGGCTCTGAAATTTGTTTATTCAATTTAAAATTAATGACACGCTAGAAGACATGGGTTACGTTGAACGATTCATTTACTGCAGAATTGATATTTCGAATTTAATTCAATTATAAAATACAAAAAAAAATAAAACATTGTCGTGCATTATCGTGCACGAGGGAGTCAGTGTCAACAGAGAGTATAAAAGAGCTTACCTCATAATTAGCCGATATAAAATTAGTAGCACCAGGCTGGAATTCCTGATTATTAATTCTGTGTAATTGTCGATGTGAGACGATTTCAATAAGGCTGTCGAAGGGATTATTTCCAACATAATTTGGACTCTGAGAAGATAACGAAAGAGGTTGTACAATGTGTTTGAATTTTGACAGCTAGTTGTAAAGGTTATGATTCTCAAAACAAAGGTTAGCAGCCACAATTGGTTGTGCCCTTGAAAATTAAAAAACAGAATAATCACGAATTTACCCTAAATCTGACGTTGACGTTATCATTTGAGTACGATGGAAAATTATTTCTTCGCTGCGATTTTGAAAATTTTTCTTCTTGTAAACTCAAACTACGTCCTTCATTCGCTTCGTCCACCTGAGTTGTCTCCGCTTCTACCAACTCTTCCTTTTCCATTGTATTTATTTAAAAAATTTATCAACTGATGTCTTTTCAATCAAGGATGAAATTATCAATTCACTGGTATTGTCATTATTGAAAAATTTCTCAACGAGGAGCACACGATGATATTGTATGCAGCCCATGAGTCACACTGTCAAGTGTCAATAGGACTCACTGCGCTCTAAATCAGCATTTGTCATCATAGCCTTATCAGTTGAGCGGTTAAATAGGAGCACAATCGAAATAGTATGTGAACTTACGAGTTGTCATTTAAAATCATCACATGTGTTTCACAATATTTTATTAATCGATCCAAATATGTCACACTCTGTGTTTATGACTCATAAAAATCGATGATTTCGATGATTGATTGAAATTCAATTAAATTCGAAAATTCAATTAAATTCTAAAATTCAATTAAATTTGTTTTTTTTTCCTGTTAGAAATATTTCTATAACATCATAGATCAAGCCACAGGAAATGTAATAAAACCATTTTAATTGTCTGCGTAATTATAATTGATATGTCAAATTATGAAAAAAAATTCAGTGGGAGAATTTTTTATATTTCAAGGTTAAGAATAAATTGTATGAATAATACATAAGAATTTTTTGATTTAAACTGAAAAGCTCGTCGAGTCTTTAATGTCTCGTACTTCCAAGAATAAACTAAAAAGTGTATAGAGAGATTCCAGACGTGTTTCAGGCTTGACCGGTATGTCCATGAGGTTGCAGACAATATCCACTAGATGTGGAAGATCACAATCAAATTTTGTCAGGTCTAATTGAGTATCATTGAGTGTATTCTCAACCTCTGATGGCCATTGCTGCATGAGACTATCGATATCAGGCATGGGCTCGCTCAATCTTACAGCAGGTGGGTGTTTACTTCTGTGTAATATATTCAAATCATCTATCCACTTCTCAATTGATTTCCTATTTTTTTCAGCCTCTTCTATTCTCTTTATCACCACTTGTTGACGGGTATCTGAACTTTTGCTCTGACTCCGGAGTTGCAAGTGCAAAACCGCAGGTTCCGATTGATTCGCGCATGGCTCGTCCAGGACAATCAATCCTATTTTGTTATCAACTCCGTCTGGTCTGGGGACCTTTATAAACGCGTCGATATCTCCCACTGCTGGTATGAAATCAGGTATATACGGTGCGACCTTATAACTCAGCTCCATTTTTTGAGGGGTATACCTGCAACAATTTTCAGTATTCATTTACCTTGATTCAACATTAAGTGAAAAAAAAATTGTTATTGAGAATTTATTTACGAAAAATGATAGCATCAAACAATTTTTAATTTTTATATATTATATAGGATATATTTCTGAATTCATAATGAACGAAAATGAAATTAAAATGAAAAACTTTTTAATGACTCTCATTTCGGAAATCAGGAATGTTGAATTTCTTTATCTGTCTGTTTTTTATTTTTGTCTAGGTAAATAATAATAGCACAATATACCTCGTGATATTCTGGAAGAGTTCCCTGACCTCGGTGGATACATCGAGTTCATCGAACTCTTTAGCATCGTATAATTCTATTGGTTTTTTTACATTTGTTCCCTCAATGTCATCATCATCAGTCTCTTCACTATCTGAGGGATCACTGCCGACACCACTTGCCGGTTGAAAAGATTCTTCATGTGTTGACAGCCTATAAGGATTATCCTCCATTATAAAACCATTTTCAATCGATCACAAATGATAATTATATAAAAAATGTTATAAATAGTATTTTTTATTGACTCGCATTCGAAAAGCTGGCCCACTCGTGGAATTAATATCGAGATCGTCACTTATATCACTCGATGGATTTTTTGAATTCTTCATCGTAATCGTTCGGTTGTAAACTGGACTCTTTATTTCTTCCGCGTTCGTCACTATGATACTCTCATCGTATTTTGTGAATGCGCTTATGTTTTGGGGTGTGTCTTCTTCTTCACTACTTTTTTCTTCGACGTCCATACCTTTCACCTGCCTTACAAATTCTCTGCGATTAAGTAACCATTTGCAATATTTCTCACTATTTGATTATTCGAATTTCGAATAAAGGAGGCAACGTACTCGTTATTGTATTTGAGCGACTGTTCATTACGATGAAACTCGGTTTGTTTCATTATTTTCTGTCCAACCGTTACCATGGTTTCACTCACGGATCAATGCATATGCTATTTTTACCGGGTGAGTCTCAATCATTTCGGCATTACCATTTTCATTAAATCAAGAAGAATCTGTCACTTTTGATAGCTGCTGAAAAAATTTTTTTATCCTCACATTAAACTATTTTAATATTCCCAGTAAAAGGAAGTAGAGGGTGGAAGTACTCGGGTCAATGCCTTCGATCGATCCATCCTGTTAAAAAAAAACGAAGTGTGAATAATTAGAAGAGATTAATTTGTTCATTTTGTTGCATTGCACGTCGAAAAAATAAACCGGTATCCGAATTTCGCGTGATATACTATTAGCGGAATTTTATTTTTCCTTCTTTATTGGAAATGCATTTTGGTAAATTGAAATGCCGTTCTGTTCACTTAGCGCAGCGGAATAAAATATGCAATATGAAATTTGAAATGATGGAGTCAGATTCCTCATAATGAACGAAGGAATGCATAAAAAATTCAGGTTCTTACTGGTGCGATATTGGATTGTGACATGATTGTGGCATTCGCGTGAATATTTCAAAGCATTCGACGTAGCGAGCCCGTGATAATGCAATCACATGCGCAAAATCGAATCCTTAATTATTTTCAACTAAAAAATTATGTGCATACGCGATTTAGAAAATTCATCGAGACATAATAAATCGTTACACCGGAATTTTTGAAAGTGTTTTTGATGTCGGACTCCAATACGGGTGAGAGAACTTTTTGTGGAGTTAAAAATTGAAGCATCCAAAGAATGCCAGGAATAATTGGGAATACTGCACCAACGGGCCGCACGATATTCAATCAGCAAAGTGCCTGACGTAGAAATAATGGAGAAATCTCTGAGACGTGTGTATACTATCTGTATGGATACACCAAGCAGATCAAGTCCATCAGAACTGCGGAAGGTTTATCCTATGATATTGATTGATACTATTGTTTCTCGGAAACTTTAAGAGTTATAGCATTCGCGTCTACTGAGCCTTTTAAATAAATGGGTTTCCAAGGCAGTGAAAAAACGTGATGTATAAAAAAAATTACTAAAACGAAATCCAGTGTTAAATATTTGTTGCAACAAAAAATGGTTAGGATAAATAAAAAAGGGAATATGTAAAATAAAAAATGGTGAGAAAAATCTGGAATAAGTTGTTATATTTATTTGTAGATATTTTTAATGTTAACAGGCTTGATCGCATTCGGTAATGTAAGGTGGGGCACAAGGGTGGTGTTTAACTCCGAAAGAAAAAGCGGGGGCTTTATTCAAATTAACAGGACCGTATGGTCCAGGGGTACATAGTCCTCGCTTTGTTTTTGGCCGGAATGGGAAGCTGTAGGCTGGAGCACGGGGTTTAACTATATCCAGTTTTATTGCCCCTGGACCTGGCACACTGCCGATTTTCACAGAGGGAAGACATAGACCCCTAGAAATTTGTAATGAAGAGAGAATTAATTAGATTAATTGGCGAACGAATTTCAGGAGCGGTATGAAAACTACCGGTCTCAATTTTATTTATTTTATAATTACTGGAATATTGTAACATTCTTGATTTTATGAAAATAGTTTTGGTGCGTTTAAAAAGGTGTGATAAAATTTAACAAATTTGCCAGAAGATTTAATTGAGCATTTTGTAGACAGAAATTAATGGATTTATATTTAGATCAGTATCTATTTAAATTCTTCTAGGAATTTTGCTATGGATTTTTTATATCATATTAATGGAATTGGCAAGGCAATTGATGTATGAATTTATAAATGTCTCGCACATGGAGAAAGCAGGACCGTTAAGGTCTCTCGGTAAACCATGTGGTCCTGGTGTGATAGCTTTCTCACGCTCTTTCGTTCGCCATTTCATCGAAAAAGCAGGTGTTGGAGCGACCGGAGGTATGAAATAAGGTCCAGGAAAATGGTCGCGTCCTTGAAGATAAAACGATGGAGGATGAAAAAAATTTATGAAATTTTTTCTGTGACAAAAAAGACTTATAAATTTTTTTCCGGATGAAAATCGTATTGAAACATTAATTGATGGGTATGGAGTGATTAACAACTTTGATCTTTGAGGACAATTCCAAAAGAGAATCCTCCAGCGGGTGGAAATTGCAGTCGGTACTTGGGTCCCGGTCCACGACTTCCGAGATTTGCTTTCAAGGTTTTGCCGAGCATTGAAAAAGCTGGATTACGATATTTTGAAGAGCAATGGTCTTTAAATCCCAAAACAGGCTTCAATTTATATCTTGGGCCAGGACCTGTGAAAAAATTATTGTCACAAGTTGTAAGGAATATTACAGATAAAAAATCGGTCTACCTTGTAATGCACAAATTCCTCCAGATGTTTTAGTACTTTTTTGTTCTTCATTTGCTTTAACGTTTGCTTTTTTTGATTTTTTCGTTTGTCCCTTTTGTGCCATTTGCAATTTTTAACGTGGAATTTATACCCGAAAAATTACAGATTTAATTACATCAAATGAAAACGAAAAAATATGATTGAATTTTGCATTTGTCAAATTTATTGCGTGTGAAGTTGATGTCGGATTCAAGAAGCTGTTCTTTTGTATACACAAAAAAAATCTTTTTCAAAAAAAATTCTTTCAAAAAAAACGACGTTCCTAAATTTAAACAATGAAGGCTAGATTGAATAAAATATTATCGTCTTGATTCCAGAAAACTTCTCCCCTACCGTTAAGAAATTTATTTTCTTTTCGTACAGATGAGAATAAAAAACAGCCGAGGGCATAAAGAAATTAAATATTTTTATCTCCCAATGCATTTGACAAAAAATAAAATCAATTACAACAAATCGGAATTATTCAAATCAATGACTCGAACTATCGTCCGAGTCCTCGACGGCAGATTCATCAGAATTATCAAATGTCTCATCGTCATCGTCCTTGGATACGATTAAAGATTTTAATTTCTCTAATAAATCATCTCGAGATGTCGGAGGCTCTTCAGTATGACCTTGTGGATTGCTCTCAGCATCTTCATCGTTCGATATTCCTTTAGATATCTCCAAATCTCCACCAGGACTCTTCTTCTCGCCTGCATAAATAATTCTTTTATCAAAAACGAAACAATTACTCGTTTTTCAAAACCAAATGAATAAATGCAAACCTTTTCTATGCATGTACCGAAGAAATGTCCTTCTCTTCCTCTCAGGCAAAGTCTTCAAAATAAGTCTGAGTTCTCTATCCAATTTGAGGGTTTCCTCTGGCATAGCTTCCCTAAAAATTTCTCTCTTCTCACCGCATTTTGCGCAAACCTCATGTGTGGCTGCACATGGTCCACACATTATGTGATAAGCATGCTTAACACATTTCTGTTGACATTTCGTACACGTGCTAGCTGCTTTAAGTGGCTTGTACTTTTTATACTTGATTTTCCATTCAATAATGCTCTTACATCTCTCACAAACATTCACAACCTGTATGTTATTAATTTTTTTTGTTTTAACCGATGTGTCATGAAGAGTGTTTTTAAATGCATGTGTATTCTGGTATTTTTGAGGACGAGAACGTCCTACGTTGCCTCTACTACAGCTCATACTCTACAAAATTCACTATTTCTCTTCTTGTTTGTTATAATTCAATTATGAACGAGCATGGATGAGTAATAAATATTACTTGCAATCTTAGACTTAACCTCACTGCTTTGTCGACGATCAACGATATTTTCTTCACTGACTGGCTCTCCAATATTCACCAACACAGCAAGTGGCGCCATTCAAACCCTTCCCTAATTCTCTTCAAATCATCTCATCATAAATTGTTAATGATGTTCTTCACTCTTCACTCTTTTAACCAAAATTCAATATTGTTTAAAATTTTCCTGTCCACTTACCAATTGAATTTTCGTGAAAAAACATTTTTTTATTTAACTATTATTGAATGACTGAAAAATTTTTGGGGTAGATCAATTTCTAGATTTGTGATTCTTTCTTTTAAATTTTCAAATTATTCCTCCGATTTATCCCGTAATATCCTGTCCATATATTGACTCCAAAAATGGTATATATCAGATATATATGGAATATATTATATTGGATATATACATGAAATGTATATCAATATGTCCCATATATTTTACATATAATTATTAGCATATATATTTTACCGGTGAGGGAGGAGGGAAATTCCCTATACAAATTTTGCTAGAGGATTAGAATTTTTATTGTGAATGGCACCCCATGGACTTGCCCTGGGTTTTGATTTAGTGAATAAAAATATAAAAATATATAAAGAGGATACATGGGCTATCTACATAATTTCGTTCTATTGGCCTTTTCAGTGAAATCAGTGAAACTTTAAGGTGGACTAAAAGTGGAGTCTATGCAGGATGCATAAATAATAAATCTATTAGTGATTCTTGGAATGGTGGGGGATGAATCGAAGATATTACCAATAATTTATGGGTTAACGAGAGATGCAATTGCTGGAAGGACGGAGACATGAGCATCCGAAGTGACTCTGCTGTTCGTTACTGGTGAATATGCGGTGATCGATTTCCAAATTAAACTTATTTGATAATAGTACTAGGAGTAACCTTTTCCACATTTTTATCTTGATTTTCGATAAAGGGAAGGATGACGGATATGTATACATATATGATGTCGACGCCGATTTGCAGTCTGTAGGGTCATTTCAGGTCGAAAGTTCGCCAGGGCAACTATAGATAGAATCTCCCTCAATTTTCCTCTTGCACACCGGTCTGACAGGTGAAACGAGCGTAAAATATTCACTGTTACTTTGCGCGACCGACTGTCAATCTGTCAACTATTCCACCAGTTTGGGGCTTGCTTTGGCGCATATCTCAATCTTCTTCTGATATTTTATACATTCCCGGAGTTTACAGTGAATATGCATTTACAACAACCGCCAAAATATTGGGATGTCAACAAGTTAAACTTGTTATAAATGTCAGACGCCCCTGGCTACTGTACACCTATATAAAACAATAGCCATCGGGTATGTACAATTAGTGGGACTGCGGAATGCTTTTAAAATATTAATATTTCACGTCTCACATCCAGACTCGCATAGGTCCTCATCGAATTCCCGGCATTCGTACCATCTCCAAATTATCAGTCTAAAGTTCAACGACTCTTATCATTTTTTATTATTTTTTATGCACATGGAAATTGTCCGTCATCACATTTCAGAGTTATAGAATATATTGTCGAAGTATTTCGCGGATTTTTTGAATCATCAATCGAGTACCACAGGTATCATGATCAAAATCATCTACTAATCATCTTTTTGTTAAAGTAATGAGCTTCACATTTATTCTCATAATTAGGTGCGGTTATCACGCTCTCTTTGATTAAACTATCGCAATTCGTAATGGATGCATCGTTGGAATGTTCATGGAATCAAAATTATAGGGGTAATCCCCCGGTTTGACAACAAAGACTTTCAAAATGAAGACTCAATGTCCGAGATTTTAAATTATGATGAGAATTTACTCGAGTGTCTTCCGCGGTGATTCGTGCATAATGGAAATTTTTCATTAAATTTGTATCAGGGTATGATAAAAATATAGTTTATTTATTTTTTATTTTATTTTGTAACTGTTGATACACTTCAGAATAGTCTCGTTGTGTTGCAATAAAATAAACCTGTTGAATCAGGAAATCATTAGATGAATTATTGAAAATCATTGTAGATAAACTATCATTTGATATTTTATTATAATGACAAATATACTTTTCATTTTATCGTATTAATTAGGTTGAACAATTATGTATATTCTTATCAAAAATTATTGATCACTTGTTGAGAAATAATTTCATTCATTCCTTCTTTTTATCAATAATTTCTAGTCAAGATACCAGTCTGCATACCGTTTGCATGTGTCTGTAGAAAATATTGGAGATCGCTGGAAGCAACGCTTTCGTGATTATGATTATTGCCCGAAAGCCACTATCATTAACAAGGCTTTCTGAGCAACAATCAAAAGCATAAAGAGCGAAGATGTTTCTTGGTGGAGCCAACACCTGCTATTCATCTGCAAAATGAAAGATCAATTTAAGTCTATTAATACAAACCCAAGAAATTTCAGAATTCAATTTACCTGATGAGTTTTATGAGATCTATGAGAGTAGGCTGGAGGCTCCAGGTACCGTTTTATTTTTCTTCTTGTTTGTACGGATCTCTTCAGGGATTAGCCGGTGTTTTCATATTTCGAATATTAATAGCTCCAATTACTGGAAGTCTAATGATTTCTTTTTGAAATGTGGATGGACTGAATCAAATCGAAATTATTTAATTTTATGTATTTACGAGTTAATTACCGTCGAATCACGGGGGTTAAATATCTAGTGCGAAATTTTTTAAAGAAGAAGATATTCTTCTGTAAAAACGAATACAGAAACGGTACAAAAATAATGTTCGGAGTTATACTTATTGTATATTTAAACTACTCAAGAGTTTAAGTGTGCAATTAGTCAATTACCCGTTTGCACCTCCACGTGTGGAAATTGTGATAAAAAATCGTATTAACCCCCACTGAGAGCAATAAAATATCATTGAAAAAAAATCGTCATTTGACACTTGAGAGGGGCACGAAATATTCAGCAGAAATAATACAACAATTCGCTCACCGATTCTGGAAGTGACCCAGAAAATTCAAATGGCGAGATCGTAATTCACAAGCGATACAGAAAAAAAATGAGCCCCGTGGACGTAATAAAAAAAATTCCAAAAAATTGATCACCCACATTCCGCCCCGGAAGTACGACAAAGACACGTCATTAATCGAGTAATCTGTCCGTGGATAAATATATTCTGCCATGGAGATAAATATTCGGTAAAAATGGCAGAACTCACAATTCGAAAAAAAATTGTATTGTAATTTTGTCACGAGAGATTTATATAAAAATTGGTAAACGTGAAAAATCGGTAACAGTTGCGTATAAATTTCAGGTGAAGCACATTTGCCTCCGGAAGAGATAGGCAATTTTGATGATATTCGGAGGATATTCGGTGAAGCCCGATCAAAGTTCCAACTGCTACTGAATCGGATGTTCTACCAAGCAACTATTTGGATTGGTATCGCAGAGACGAATGATGAAGGCCGGTGAATGCGGAAAGGGTTGATGTGGTCCACGGAGGAAAGTGGGGGATGAGGATGGATAAGTGATATGGGAGGGTTGGATGAGAATCGGAGGGAGGAAACTGGATAGGACATTCTGCGCAGAATCACCACCTCAAACTCCAGAATTTCTCCCTTCGCTGTGTCTGTCCATTAACTGTTCTAATCTCCGTAATTTGACAATTGGTGCAAGCAGTGTGAGTTTCATGGAAGACTAACGGGATAATGTCAATCATTTGGTTAATGCTATACCGGGTCAATGCACCCGGATTCGGTGCAGAGCGCATTCTTAAATATTCCACAGGGAAAGGGGTTTTATTTATTTATTTTATTAAATTATCGACATCCCGACGTACGACATACGAAGATAGATCCGACGTGATCGTTTTAAATTGTTATTACTTTTCGCTAGGATCGACAATGTCTGGTCAATACTCCATCGAGAATATATTACTGATTTTTTTTACAAGCTATCATTAAATCATTCCCATTTTTTAATTCCAGAAATTCCAGAATCCAATCATTGATGGAATATATAGCTTTCCATGAAGATATATAATATATATATATATTTTGGATATATAATAGTCCGAAATGTTCACGTGATCGTTCTCTCAGTATATAATAATACAATAATAATTATATAGCGCATAAAATCAGTACATACCATTTAATTCCGATAAAGTTCAATTCCCCGGATGCAAGGCGCGTCTTGGATTTGTTTCATCTCATCCGAACTATGAAGGACACTTAAGCACTGAGAACTGGACATATGTCTTCCTCAAAAATAAAAAAGAGTCCGCCGATTGAGGGGATGTGTAGAGAATCGGGGTGAAAAAAAATTCTCAGCTCTCTGAATCGAGTTCCAATGGATTCATTACGATTTTTTCTCTCTGTACCCTTCGAAGATGTATTTAATTTAATTTAATCCTCCCGTGAGTACTTTGACAGCATTGTTGAAGACCTTTTGACATGTTCCGGGGGTTTTAGAAATATTTACTATTTTTCCACTGAATTCTAAAGAATTTCGCTCTTTAAAATTCGGAATTTTGCATAAAAAATTTCGTGACGGTCGTTTTTTCGAGAATATCTTGTCACTGAAGGGAGCTAGCGCAATTTTCATGAGTATCTTTTATATAGCTCTCATCTTTCTCTAAAAAAAATATTCCCACAGAAAAGTGGCTATCTGCCTACGATTTCGAGATATTCCCTGAAAACTTTTCGCTGTTGATCTCATTTGAAGTTGAATTATTTTTCATTGCTCGAAAAATGGCCTGACCTGCCGTGTTACTGTCCCGAGCATTAATAGTCCGTGAAATATTTCCCCCTGGGATTATCAGGAAATAAATAAATCAATTTATAAAAAAAAGAGTGGACTATTCCAATTCCATTCCATGATATACTTTGTATACGTACAGCTGAAGCGTAACGCAGAATTGTGAAAAAGTGAGATGGAATTTTTTTTTTTTTGAGTGATGGTAAGAAAATAATTTGCCTTTGTCTGAGTGAAAGGAGTTTTGAGATTGTGAAAAAGAAAGCATGAGTTCGAGGTAAACCGACATCAGGAGGTTCACGCTTCACTTCTCCATCGTGGACTCGTTCGTTCGACCGGAGTGAATTACTGACGTTTCCTTCTCGTTCCGTGAAAAATCAGGCAATAACCGCCACAACACCAGAGAAAAGAAGATGCACTGCGTACACCATCATTACACTGATGTACCTTTTTCAAGTAAAGACGAGACGCTGTTGGCGAGAAGATGATTATTCTTCCGGGAATTTTGAAGCAAGGGCCACAGCTCCGAAGCAACAATTTGTGAAAAATGCTATTCGGAGATTCCACTGGCTTTTTTTTTCGCCTTTTCATTCTGCCCCCAACATTCTGCCCTCTTACACCCATCGTTCAACATCATTCAGGAGATAATTTCTGAAAACATATTCCGAAATTCCGTTGCAATTAGAACAGATAATTGCATTCAATTCGCATTTATGAAATCCATAATTACTGCAGATTGATAAAAAAAAACCGTAATTACAATATTGACGATACCTTGAATTTTTTATAAAAATACCCGATAAATTATACGAATTCTTGTAAATTTGCGCTTTCATATCGAGATCGGATTTCTAATAGACCATTATCGAGCTCAACAACCCGTTAAAATACAATAGCATATGAATTTAAACAAATAAAAATGAGAAAATATAAATAGTTCTCCGATCAATCAGAGTCGAATTACCTCGCACGAATAATGAATGAGTCCTGGGGTGAAGAAGCGTTCGGCTTGATGGCAAGTACTTTCAGCTCACTCCCCCTCAATTTCTTCTCCCAATCCGATTGTCCCCCCACCTTGGATCACCTTCCATTACCTGACATATCTCCACCCCTTTTATCATTCCTCTCACAGTATTTGTTTAATACCATCCTGCGCGATTTTCAGTGATATCCAGTAATAATATCCACTAATGTCGACTGCAATCCTTAAATTGCCGATATCTCCCGAAAGTTGCTTCATCCAATTACTTAATGCACGAGTGTTTCCTCCTTCGATAAATCCAAGGAGATTTAAAATTTCAAGGAATTTTTAACTATACCTGCTGAATTCCCATTGGCTTAACGACTCACCTCAGAACGCCATGATTTTATTCACGTTTAACAATTTTTCTTTATCTCTGACTTTACCACTGATTTATTTCACACAAACAACATTATTTCACTATAGACTATATTATAAATAAAGTTACTATAAAATAGTACGTCGTTCAAACAACCCAGCTATCACGTTTGCACTTTTTGCTGATAATGCGCGACTCGAGAAGTGAGAAGTAGGAGAAACGATAGAATGAGATGAGTTAACAATTTTCCCCGGAGTTTATCGCAAATATCTCCGGAATTAAAAGAGATACTGAATTCGACTTGAAATGAATTTTTTAGAGCTGATAAAGAACTGGAAAATAAGTTATAACAAAAATTTCGTTATCTCCTCTAGTTTCAAAGATATTGCCGAAAAACTCACTGAAAAGATGAATCAGCTTACCTTATCACTGCACTAGGAAATTGATATAGCAATTCGACATGTTGGATTTGAAAAATTGTTCACGAGATAAATTCGTGTAGTTGGAGAATGAAATAAAATAGGGCAAACTTAATGATAACACAATTTTTTGGGAGATGATTCTAGCGTCAGCTCCTGAGAGTCTGTCTCATCTAACAGAGCACCGAACGACTGATGTGAGAGTTGCAGCCGGTACTGAGTCCGTGTATTATTATTTAAATCAACCCTTCCAATGATTGGAGAAGGGGACCAACCCATTTTGAAATAGGGGTACGGTGGTGAACAATGCTTGAGTTTTTTAACGCACACCTATGTGAATGTATAGTGGTTGTCGACGAATTCACCGAGGGGATAAAAAAAGTTAGGGTACGGCATGACTGGAAGGGTGAACTGCCACGCGCGTAGTCTAGGTCCAGGTGCCGTGAGTGAAAAAACTATTTGAGGGAAAGTAAAAAAAGGGGGAAAGGGGAGTCTTCCCTTTTACTTTTCATCCATCAATTGATAGTGTAAAAAATGAAAAATCGAAAATCGAAAATCGAAAATTGCCAGCTCAACTCATTTTTTCCTTCTCTATTTTATTCGATTTAATTTTTTTCTTTTTATTTTTTAATGGCCAATTGCTCTCAATCTTATTTTTACGTGTTATATTTGAGGATTGATTTTAGAGAGGAAATAAAAAGAACAAGATATAAATAAATTTTCAGATAATTGGTAAATGGTCAGACAGTTGGTGTGTGATCTTTTTTCTCAGACACTTTTTTCTTCTATTTTATTTCATATCAATATCATTGGTAGTATACAGATGAATGGATTGAACCGAATTTATTTTTCGATAATTCCTTTCGACTAGAATTCGTGGAGGGGTATTCAAGAGTTTCCCCCAAAAAATGGGATTTTTAGAAATTTCATTTTTCGGGGGTGAATCTTCTGGGGTGAAGCTGAAGAAGAAAAAAAAAATTATAAAATAATCCTTACCGTCATGGAACGATTTATCTGAAAATCGTTCACAGAATTAATGACGAATTATCAGTCAATTATCAGTCAATTATCAGGCAATTATCAGATGTCCTCACATCTCTTGAAAATTACTCATTACTCATCCGATTACACTCATCTATGAAATCACTTTGAGGATCATAGATGCTGCAATCGAAATAAATTTCAAGTTTCTGTTTGTTTTCTAATTTTGTGGCTTGCTATCGCAATGCCCCTCCGTTCAAAAATAGTAAATATGGATATTTACACTGAATATTGCGATTATTAATTTTTCGCGAGATTTCTTAAGATTTTTATGTTAACTTTCAACTAGTGAGAATGAATTTCTCCTGCACGAAGCGCCATCTATTGTTGATAGTTGCATTCTATAAAATATTTATAATATAATAATAAGTATCCGGTGAACATCAATGGCGTTGACACTAATGTTTCCCGCTATTTCCTGTCTCTTTCTTTGATTCTTCTAATTTATGTGAAACACTTTTCGTTTTCCTTGTTTTTGACATTCTTTCATCATCTCAAAGGTCAGTTTATCAAAATATATTTTGAATCAGTCGATAGATCGTGAGAAATTACGATTTTTTTAAATGTCGCTTTCGCTTTTCACCTTTTCGCTTTTTGACGCTGGAAATTTTGTTTCTTACATTTTTCTACTTTCACCGGTTCCAAAAAAAGACGAATAAATGTGAAAACAACCTCTACAAAAAGTGTAAGAAAGAAATATTCAGTTATTTAATTCTTTTCTAGTTTTTTCACGTTCAAGAAATTTCGAATATCCACGTGCATTGTTATCGATTTATCCACTTTTATGTGGATGGCCGAATCAAAAAGCGAATAAGTCGTAACGAATTGTCAGGTAATTTCGCGATTTAAAATTTATATGCCGAGAGGTTGTCTGACACTAGTTCATCTGGTCCAGTCGTTGAACTCTCCCTCCCACACTCATTAATCAATATTGATGAAAATAATTAAATAATTTTCATCTGTCCCCTGAGAATTCCACGATTATCACTAAATATTCATTTTTACAATTTCCCAATGTTAAAAAAATAATCTAAATACCACAAAAATCCTCGAATGAAAAATGACGTTTCAACGTGTTCTTCCATACTTGCTAATGGTTCCATAATTTGAATTACATTAACATTTTTTGAAGTTGACATGACATGTCATTGCGCTATAGATATAATATAAAAATAATCTATGAATAGAAAATAGAGGAATAAAATCAAGTAGATCTCTATGAAGGAGCTATTTGAAAATGTTCTCTCAGTGCAGGGCGAAACGTTCGATATGCGAACCCGTCCTGAGATCGAATAAATGTTAGATTAAACGCGGGGTAGATATCTGTAAGGGTGAATGCGCAGCTTGTCGCGACAATAGACGGCTGCACATATCTTCCCACTTTGCCCCATTAAGTTCATTCCCCCTTTTCGTTCCCCTCATTTTTAAAAGAAATGGAAAAATTCCCCTGAAAATCACCCCATCCCGTAGTTATTTCAACTGAAAAAAGAATTATGAAATTATTTCATGAAAGAATAATTTCAATAACTTTTCCCATCCATAGTTATTTTTCAAGCCTGCACAAAATAAATGATTATTATTCATTAATTCATGATTCGAGAAGATGTAAATATAATTGCATGAACTGTTCGAGTGGACCATACTTTTTGAAATTATAATTTTTTATTCGGAAATACATAAATCCATGTACCCATAAATACAGTCTTAATCGTTAGACCATCGGTGGTAAAAAATCAAAATTTGGCGATGTGTTTTGGACGCCAGTAGTGGCTATCATGTATTCGGAGACAGATATGTAGAGTCCAACGAGTAAGCCAATTGCACTAGCTGCGTAAACATTTTTCTGGAGTATAATACATGTCGCTGCACACAAACCAAAATAGGTTGCATATCGCGCCATATTTTCGGTTCTTTTCCGTCCCAAAATATCTGAATCTGAAAAACAAAAATAAACACTGTACTCCAAAATTGAAACAATGGGCATGACATGTAAATACCAGTGGCAAGAAACTTCTGAGAAATTACAGGAAAAGAAAAATAATTCCTACTCACTTATACAAATATTGTCTTGTTCATGATAGCCTTCAGCACAATCTATACACATATCAGGACCATCTCCAGTGCAGCCATTGCAGGCTTTATCACAAGCTGAAATAAAATATTCCATTCAAACACTCTATTCCAATTAATCTTGTGAATTAATGTATCGGTTACTTACTTAGGCATGTGTAATTTCCCTCTTTATTGACGCAAAATTGATTGCCAGGACAGTATTTTTTACTCTCCAAGCATTCATTAATATCTACACACCCTTGATTTTCCACTAGCCGCCAGCCACTTCTGCATTCTCCTTGACATTCAGCAGATCCACCTCCGGTGCATCCATTGGCACAAGCTGGATGGCAAATTGAACAGAGCAGTTTATCCTCATCTCGGTAGGATTCATAATACCCCTGAGCACACTCTGTGCAAGTCTCTCCAGCATAATTTTTATCACAGAGACATTGACCATTTCCTTTCCTCGTACCCGCACCCTTGCATTTTCCGTTGTTATTGCATACTTTATCTGGAAAACCCGGACACTTTGTGCATTTCGGGCCGAAGTGATTCTTGGGGCAGCACCTCTTAGTCTGATCTATACAAATATAATCATGAATATCTGGATAAGCATCCTGTTGGTTGAACCACCAGTCCTCGATGATACTCTCTAATTCCTCGGCCAGGTCATGGCACTGGATTTCTCCTTTTTGCACATCTTTGCATAGATGCTCTTGGATTTCTGTCAATCTTATTTCACTTTTGGCGTAAGATTTTAATTTATCTTCTTCCCAGGCTGAATCTCCCCCTTCGAATTTTCCTCTTTTTGTTTTTTCAATGCCCTGATCAATTCAAAGATATTAAAACTGATATTTGTAGATATTTATATTTATAAATATACACAGAATTAGGAAATCTAATGAATATTCAAATAAATTTAGAGGGCGTTTACCCCCTGTCTTCTCTATATATAAAATTAACAATAAACAATGGGCTAAATTTCCAATAATAAATTAATATTTAATTACCTTTTTGAAACTTTCGGTGAGTACTTTACATGCCGCACAAGACGGGAGTTTCTCCAATTTCGATTGCTCTTGCGTTTGAAAATTCAGTGAGGCAGGAACCTGATTGATCACCGCAAATATAAAAAAAGAAAATGAGTACAACAAATGCCGATCGACGAATCCTCGCATATTTTCAATTGGTTTATCAACAATAACACGTGATAAAGTTCATAGGCAGTAGAGATTGTTAGTAGATATGAAAATTGAGTTGTGATAAATTAAACACACGTGTCAAATGGAATCATCAGCATCCGAGAGAAAAACTGTGTAATTTCTGAGACTTCGGAAGGTTAGAGTCTTGATAATGTTGACAACTCAGGTGTTTCCTAGGGGGACTCTAACCAATGCAAAATGACATGCGTCAATTTGCATCCAATCAGAAAGCAACGCGTTGTTCTTCGAGGTTTTTCAATATCTGTTCATAAAGACGTGAACAATACTCATTGATTAACACTATCCCCACCGATTTATGTTAATTAATCATCCATAATTATTGAAATCTCCATGATTTCAAATGTGAGTCATCCAATTGAATTTACATTTTCTGTCAGAATTTCCATTATTTATTGTAATCACACCTAAAAATAATAATATTAAGTATATTATGTAATTAGTCATTCATTGATAATCAAGCGTTGAATTCTATAATCCATTGAAAAGTATAGTTTACATTTTTCAAATTGATATTTCAATTTCAGCAGATCGGAGTCAGGTGGCAGCACAAGTCGGATAACTTCTTGTTCTCTTGTTGAGTGTCCCTTCATGACATCTGAAAAAAGCCAGCAAGAGCAAGTGACGTGTCTCTGAATGATCTGCTCTCGAGTATTTATTGAGAATCGTGAAGTATTGGATTGTATGCAATAAAATTCAGTACAAATGTTAACAAAATTCGAGACTAAGTCCGCACGAGTGAAGGGACTGTCGTTTCATCCTAAACGGCCATGGGTCTTAGCCAGGTAATTGACTTGAAAAGGAAATAATCCCTGTGTTAATGATACAAATTATTTTTCAATTATTTCTATTTTTTGAAGCTTTATACAAGAGATATTTCCTCATCATGTTTTTGGGATCTCAATTTTTTCCTTCAATCTTCAGCCATAAATGCAATCCTAGAAATTTAATAATGTGACATACATAAACAATAAGTAAACAATAAGTAATACGAATTACGTATTGGAACCGGAGTTTAAATCGTTTCTCACGTGAAATAATTCTTCACTAAAAAATATAAAAATGATTATCAAAAAATTCTTTACATAACACTTTTACTGATTATCAAGTTGTTTTGACTCTTTAACAGTTTACACAATGGAGTAATCCAACTGTGGGACTACCGGATGTGCACGCTTCTCGAAAAATTCGACGAGCATGATGGTCCAGTCCGAGGAATTTGCTTTCACAATCAGCAACCACTATTCGTCTCTGGAGGTGACGACTACAAGATTAAAGTATGGAATTACAAACAACGTCGTTGTATCTTCACCCTCTTGGGTCACCTGGATTACATAAGAACAACTTTCTTCCACCACGAATATCCGTGGATTCTGAGTGCCTCCGACGACCAGACAATTCGCATCTGGAACTGGCAGAGCCGTGCCTGCATCTGTGTTTTGACTGGACACAATCATTACGTCATGTGCGCACAATTTCACCCATCAGAAGACATGATTGTATCAGCATCTCTCGATCAGACCGTGCGAGTGTGGGATATTTCTGGTTTGAGAAAGAAAAATGTAGCGCCAGGGCCAGGCGGTCTCGAGGATCATCTCAGGAATCCTGGAACAACGGATTTGTTCGGACAAGCTGATGCAGTTGTCAAGCATGTCCTAGAGGGACACGACAGAGGAGTAAACTGGGCATGCTTTAACCCAACATTACCGCTGATTGTCTCTGGGGCTGACGACCGACAAATTAAAATGTGGCGAATGAATGATCTGAAGGCATGGGAGGTGGATACATGCAGAGGCCACTACAACAACGTCTCTTGCGTGCTCTTCCACCCACGCCAAGATCTCATTCTCTCCAACTCCGAAGACAAGAGCATCAGAGTCTGGGACATGGCGAAGAGGAGTTGTTTGCAAACGTTCAGACGGGAGCACGAGAGATTCTGGGTACTTGCAGCTCATCCTACGTTGAATCTTTTTGCTGCAGGTCATGATTCTGGCATGATTATCTTCAAATTGGAGAGAGAACGCCCGGCTTATGCTGTCCATGGCAATTTGCTGTACTACGTTAAGGAACGATTCTTGAGGAAACTCGATTTTACAACGTCCAAGGACACCTCGGTTATGCAGATTCGGGGAGGAGGAAAGACACCTTCGTACAGCATGTCTTATAATCAGGCTGAAAATGCTATTCTCATTTGTACAAGATCAGCGTCGAATATCGAGAACAGCACCTATGATTTGTATGTGATCCCGAAGGATGGAGATTCCAATAACGATCCTGAAACCAAGAGGGCTCCAGGAGTCACTGCTATTTGGGTAGCACGTAATCGATTTGCTGTGTTGGATAGAGGACATTCACTGGTGATTAAAAACTTGAAGAACGAGGTAACAAAGAAAGTGCAAATTCCGAACTGCGACGAGATCTTCTACGCCGGAGCTGGAATGCTTTTAATCCGCGACGCTGATCAAGTTATTCTTTTCGACGTTCAGCAAAAACGTCAGCTCTCCGAAGTAAAAATTTCGAAATGTCGATACGTCGTCTGGTCTAATGATATGTCCCACGTGGCTCTGCTGGCAAAGCACACAGTCACCATTTGCAATCGCAAACTACAGTCCCTCTGCTCTATATCCGAGAATACCAGAGTCAAATCAGGTGCTTGGGACGATTCAGGAGTATTCATTTACACAACGAGCAATCACATCAAGTACGCCATCAACACCGGGGACCATGGAATTATCAGGACACTTGATCTACCAATTTACGTGACTCGAGTGAAGGGGGACCAGGTTTACTGTTTAGATCGCGAATGCAGGCCCAGAATTCTGAGGATTGATCCAACAGAGTATAAATTCAAACTGGCTCTTATCAATCGAAAGTACGAGGAGGTCCTACACATGGTAAGAACGGCAAATTTAGTGGGTCAATCTATCATCGCATATCTCCAGCAGAAAGGCTATCCAGAAGTGGCATTACACTTCGTAAAGGACGAGAAAACGCGCTTTGGACTAGCCCTTGAATGTGGAAATATCGAGGTTGCTCTGGAAGCAGCAAAAAGCCTCGACCAGAAGACGTGTTGGGAGAGCCTGGCACAAGCAGCATTACTCCAGGGCAATCACCAAGTCGTTGAAATGTGTTATCAACGAACGAAAAATTTTGAGAAGCTTGCCTTCCTCTACTTAATCACCGGAAATCTCGACAAATTAAAGAAGATGACTAAAATCGCTGAGATCAGAAAGGATTACTCTGGACAGTACCAGGGGAATCTTCTTCTCGGTGACATATACGAACGTGCCAAGATCCTGAAAGACTGTGGTCAGGCTTCCCTTGCGGCTGTTACCAAAAAGCTCCATGGGATTTCCACGGAGGATGATGAACTCGAAACGGAACTCATAGAAGAGATGAGTGACCTTGAGCGTGGAGCAGTGTATCTGCGGCCACCAGTACCTGTTCAGCAAGCAGAGAACAATTGGCCTCTGCTGACAGTTTCGAAAGGATTCTTCGAGGGTGCGATGATGGCTCGAGGAAAGAGTCAAGTGGCTGCAGCTCTGGCTGCTCTCGACACCGAGGAGGACGTAGTAGCTGGTGAAGGCTGGGGTAATGATGATGAATTGGGAATGGATGATGAAGAGGGTGGAGAAGGGGTAGAGACTGGAGCAGATGGCGAAGAGAATGCAGGGTGGGAAGTGGAAGACGTTGATCTCCCACCGGAGCTCGAGACAACCGTTTCTGCAGCTCAAGATGGATATTTTGCAGCACCAACTAGAGGAGTCCCTGCTACCCAACACTGGGTAAATAATTCACAATTACCGGTGGATCATATCGTTGCTGGATCCTTCGAAACAGCCTTCAGGCTCCTCCATGATCAAGTGGGAGTTACAAAATTTGAGCCGTATCAGGCGCATTTCTTGAATGCTTTTGCTCGATCCAGGACGAGCTACTCGTCCCTTCCAAGCATTCCTTCTCTCTACGCGTATCCCCAGAGAAATTGGAAGGATAATATGGTGAAACATGGACTTCCGGCTCTTGGCCTGCATCTCACTGAACTTGTTCAGAGGTTACAGCTCTGCTATCAATTAACGACGGGTGGTAAATTTGTAGAAGCCATCGAAAAACTTCAAGCGATTCTTCTCAGCGTACCACTGCTGGTTGTTGAGACGAGGCAGGACTTCGCAGAGGCACAACAGCTTATTCACATTTGCCGGGAGTATATCCTGGGTTTGAAGATGGAATCTGAGAGGAAAAATGCCCCCAAGACGACATTATCTGAGCAGAAGAGAGTCTGCGAGATGGCTGCGTACTTTACGCACTGCAATCTTCAACCTGTTCATCAAATCCTGACTCTCAGAACTGCTGTTAATATGTTCTTCAAATTGAAAAATTACAAAACAGCGGGATCATTCGCTAGGAGGCTCCTCGAATTGGGTCCCAGAGCGGAAGTGGCGCAGCAAGTTAGAAAAATCCTCCAAGCATGTGATAAAAATCCAGTCGACGAGCATCAGCTGCTTTATGATGAGCATAATCCATTTTCACTCTGTGCTGCCACTTATTCGCCAATTTACCGTGGAAAACCTGAGATCAAGTGTCCTCTGTGTGGGGCTAGTTATCAGCCGCAATTTAAAGATTCTCTCTGTCGAGTGTGCGATGTAGCGCAGATCGGCAAAGAATGCATCGGACTCAGAATAAGCTCATTACAATTTCGATGAATGATTTGAATATTTGATATTTTTATGTATCCAGAGGAACGCAGGCAAAAGTATTCCGAATTTCTCATAAATATTAAGATTATTTTATATTGCAGTTTCGAGAAGGATCTTCATTGCTTGTTCATCATTCCGTTAAGAGTTTATTCAATAAAGCATTCAAGTAATTATGGAATTATTTCCGCTATCAGTAATACCAACTACCTCTTTATTTGAATACTTATATTACAACCTTTATGAATTTAATTATGCGTGGCGGTCTAAGCCAGGCCATTAGTTTTTCTTTTCAGTGTTTAAACGATTGCAACGAAAAATTTATTCAATATGTTGAAGATATACTACTAATGAAACTATATTTTCATAATATGTGCGTTGCATAATTGGTGACGTGCTTGCCTACCACGCCGACGGTTCGGGTTCGATTCCGCCGTCATTCATTTTTTTTTTTTTTCTAAATAATTCCATTTTTATCTTTTTTAAATGGCTAATCAATCGAAAGATCGTTTAAAAACTGAATTTTTGAAAATCGAGAAGATATTCAATGAAATTGACGAATTTGAAATTTTTTTAAATAATACCTTTTTAAAATATATACCCCTAATGAAATTATAATATTGCAATAGCGCGTTATCCTAGCGGTAACGTGCTCAACTAGTACGCAGACGGCCCGGGTTCGATCCCGCCGTCATTCGTTTTTTTTTTTAAATAATTCCAATTTTTTCTTTTCTAACTGGCTAATAAATCGAGATATTGTTTAAAAACTGAATAGCTCCTCGATTGTCATGTTCCCCTGATACTTTTACAAAAATTTCGAATTTTTCACTTTCAGTGAAAATTTCAGTGAATAGCTCCTTGATTGTCATGTTCCCCTGATACTTGTACAAAAATTTCGAATTTTTCACCTTCAGTGAAAATTTCAGTGAATAGCTCCTCGATTGTCATGTTCTCCGGATACTTTTACAAAAATTTCGAATTTTTCACTTTCAGTGAA